GCTCGGTCGCTGGAAGGGGAGAGGGCAGCGGGCAGGGGCCCCATTTTCGCACCTGGTGAAGGGGGCGCGTATAAGAGCCAGTGGGAGAAAGAAGAAACCGCCCTCGTGCGCGGTATGTACCTCGGGGCGTGAGCTGTTCCAACAGTGGCAGGTTGGCTGGAGAATCGCTCAGTGATTAGGTCTCTGGCCGCAGAACCAGAGGTTGGGAGGTTCGATTCCCCAGCTGTGCCTCCCGGGAAAAGAGCCAGCCGGTGTGGCCCTGGGCCAGCTGCATTGTCCCAGGGTGTCTCCGAGAATAAAGGCATGGCAAGGCACTTCTGTGTTGTCTCGACCTCAAAGACCCCAGAAAGGGTCGCCATAAATCAGAATTGGCTTGATGGCACATCATAATAATTGTTACTATCGTGATGATGATTTGCCAGTTTCAGCCCTGCACAAGGGAGTTTCCACATTGGCTTGATGGCACATCATAATAATTGTAACTATCGTGATGATTTGCCAGTGTCAGCCCTGCACAAGGGAGTTTCCATGGATGAATGGGGATTTGAACCCAGGTCTCTTGGGGTCCTGGCCCCACACTCCGTTAAATCACACTGGCTGTAAGACTACTCCTTTTTTATGTCCAACACTAAAGAGTTGTACTGCATCGTTACTGCAACATTGAATGAAACCAGAATTAGTTATCTCTACGGTCTGTTCTTAGTTTGCAAAAGCGAAGTACATGGACTTTAGGAAGTCACCGATTCATGGGGTGACCATCATGGGGGGACTTGACAGCACATAACACCATGGACAGTTGACTCTGACTTCCTTTTTTCCCCTGGAAATCTCGCCCTCCTAGTGCCAAAGGGCAGCAGCTGCCACTGGTCTTTGGAGATTGTCTTCCATGGGACTTGATCTGGAGGCAGAGGCTGCACATTTTAGCAAGACGTGGTAGTGACTACACATTGCTTTAGATGCAGATTTCCTGGAAGACCAATGAGACTTTAAAATGGATTAGGGGCTTGATTGCGTATACTGTATGCCATGTAGGCTTGATTGCAAGGCCTGCTAGGAATTCTAAACATGACCCACTTCAAAATTCCCAGGGGCAGCTACTGTAAGGCTGGATTAAGACCTGCCAAGACCCTAAACCATGGGTGGGCAGAGTGCAATTCTTACAGCCCACAACTATCCCTCAGGTCCCTCCCCCCCCTTGCAAAAATTGTTAATTGCTGCTCTTGAAAGCTTCCAGAATTAGGAGTTCATCCATTAAATAGGGGTTTAGGCCCCTGCATTGAGATATATCATTTCCAAATCTTAAATGGATTTCCTGTGCCATCCAGATTGTTTGTAATCTGTGTAGCTCCTGGAGGATCCAGGAAATGGGGACCATAAGACCTGCTAAGGTTGTCCATTTCTGCCCTAAACTACCGTAATTCAGTTTTTACACACACACCCCACACGTATACAGCCCTTGCCCAAATCCCAGGCCATTTATGTCATTATCCAAATATATACTGGGGGAGTATTTTAGGGTTAATCCAGTGTGTACTGGAGAGAGTGATGGACGAGGACTCAGATCTGGATTTGTTCCCCCCCCCTCACCATGGCAGCCATGGAAACCCACAGGGGTGGGGTGGGGGTGGAACTGGTCTAAACCATTCCTTAAACATCTCACTTAGTTTGAAAGTCCTACAAAGAGGCCCAGAAGGAAAGGACACGAAACCGGGACTTCTCGGCGGTGGCTCCTCGCCTCTGGAATAACCTTCCTCCGGCGATTCGTGCGGCCCTTACGCTGGGCACTTTCAAGAGTCAATTAAAAACATGGTTATATGTTCAGGCCTTCCGTCCTGTCAATATTTAACTCTCTCTCTCTCTTCTTTTCCCCTTTCCTTATTGTTCTATTATTGTATGTGTTTTAATTGATTGTAATACTGTATGTTTTATGACAAATACTTTTGTTGGAAGCCGCCCAGAGTGGTCGACCAGACCAGATGGGCGGGATACAAATCAAATCAAATCAAATCAAATCAAATCAAATCAAATCAAATCAATAAATAAATAAATAAAAAACAAACAAACAAACAAACAAACAAATAAGATATCATCACCATGGCGAGGGGGGCGATGATAACTTCCTCAATGGCTCAAGGGGGTGTTTCTTTCAAAAAGGTTAAGAACCACTGGTCTAAACCATTCCTTAAATATCTCACTTAGTTTGAAAATCCTACAAGGGTCACTATCAGTTGGTTCTGACTTGATAGTTGATAATAGACACAATAGGAGCAAAATTTCGCAGACACCATCCACACATCATGTTGCCTTTCTTCAATCAGCTCGGTGGCCTTCCTGGGCAGGGAGCTCTTCAGATGTGTTGGGAGTCTACACCTCTGATCATTCCCAGACTCTGTGTGTGTGTGTGTTGGGGGGAAAGAGATATATAGTCTACACATGCTGGGCACCAGGTAGGAGAAGTGAGTTGTTTGGCAAGTTCCTTTTTAAAAGGTTTTAACATAAAAACTGGTGGTTGGTAAAGAACATCTTAAAGAAGTTGCCTTTCCAATTACATTTTATATAATTGCAATTTTTAACGTTATCTTGTACAGCATACTGGAAAACGCTGCTGTAAAATGGTTTAGGAATTCAACTAAAATGATCATATTAATTAGAGGCAAGATAATTCAATGTAGAATTTATCTTGTACACTTAGGTTTTTAATTACATTAGTTGCCACTACTGGCAAGATTGCCAATGACCCCATTCGAGGTTCAACACTCCACTTCGGGCTAAATTGTTTCCTCCCTGGTAGCTTCGAGCGACTTTTATAACATCCATAAATTGAATGTGCATACACAGAAGTGACATTTCATCAGCCAGTGAGCAATTGCCCTCTTACTGCTTGCTGCTGTAGCAGCCTCTGTAATCTTCTCCAGCCGTTTGAAGGCCTCAAAAGGAAATCACTGAAGAGGCACTTCTATAATCTGTTGCCTTTTCTCTTCAGACGCTTGCAAGGAATTAAGCCATGAAGAGTTGGAATGTCACTCCTGAAGGAAAACACAATTGGGTGGAATGGACGCAGAGTTGGAATGGTTCACACATCCCATGTTCCACTGCTTGAGGAGTATCAGAATCATGCCCCAGTACATCTGAATGAGCCACTCTGCTTGCAAAACCAGAGAGAACTTCCATTTTACCTCAAACACAATGGTGCTCATTAGTTTTTACATGTTACACTGGAAGATGTCAAGTGATAGAAACGCTTATGTGAAAACAAGCTCTGAAATTTTAGTATTTCGAGGTGCCACAAGACTTGTGCGTTCTACAAGGGGTTAGACTAGATAATCCCCACAATCCCATCCAACTCAAAAAATGTTGATTCCAAGATTCTGCATTGCTTCAGAGACAATGGTTCCCAACCTTGGGGTCCCCAGATGATTTGGACTAAAATTCCCAGAAGCCTTTCCCACTAGCTGTGTTGGCCACGATTTCTGGGAGTTATAGTCCAAGAACATCTGGAGATCCAAGGCTGGGAACCACTGCTTTAGAGGCTAAACTCAATGGCCGTTCCAATTTGTCTACCGAAATGAAAGGGATTTGTCGAAATGAAAGGGATTTGTTCATCACTGCCATTTCAACAAATCTACCCTACTTGAGGCTGGCATTTGATTTTGTCATTTGCTGCAATATATGAACTTGACCATCTCTTTGGAGCTGGCAATACTGTACTTCAGTCGAGATGAATGACTCAGAAAGAAGACATTTGCTTGGAGAAACCTTGTATATGGAATCCTGAGCTGCCTTTACTTGTACATGGGTGGGGAAGAGAGAGGAAGGAGGGCTGTTTTACCTGGCTCTCCATTGGCAGTGCACTAAGGAAGAATCACAACACATTCCATTTTGAATTCTGATTTCTTCTCCGCTTCCTTACGTCGGCCCTTATGTGGTGGAGTCAACACATCAAGAAAAGGAAGCATGGAGCCCTCCCAGATGTTATGGGTCTACAACTTCCAACATCCCATAGCTTTGGCTATGCAGAAAAAATGGGGAGTAGGGAAATGCATTGTGTGTTTTAACATATGGACAAATTTTGTTTCTGAGTTGTGGTTGTCAGGGAACCCAGGCAGGAGTGGCTACTGCACGCACATACCAAGTGTAGGCTTCTCATGGCGCGTCTGGTGGGCCACTATCGGAACAGAAGGCTGGATTAGATGAACCTCTGGGCTGAGCCAGTGTGACTCTTCTCAAGAACGTTAAATGCCATTTTGAATCCACAGAGCAGCTTAGGAGCTGTATTATTCACGACAAAAGGGATGTGTAGGTGTGTGTACATGCACATACCTTAACAGAGATACACCTTAGCAGAGATTACTGTTGCCTGAATTGATGGAGCGAGAACGCAGAGATACACCTTAGCAGAGATTACTGTTCCACCAGAGAAGTAGGCAACCAACCGATCTAGATGGATTTTTCCTCCAAGCATCTGGAACGGCTGTCATCGCCACGACACTCGCCTGAATTGATGGAGCGAGAACAGTGTAGGTGTGTGTACATGCACATACCTTAACAGAGATACACCTTAGCAGAGATTACTGTTGCCTGAATTGATGGAGCGAGAACGCACACATACACACTTCTGCTAGCCCCCACTTCCCAAAACACTGCATAACATATCAACTGCCAGTTTCTTCCTTCTGAAAGCACGCAAGCAGAGACTCTTGGAAGACTAAGCGTATTCCGACACCACATCTCCTCCCCACAAGTGTTATTAGGGACGGCAGCTTAAAAAAAATGAATAAACAAATCACGTCTCCCCACAGCTTCTGTCTTGAGGTTTCTCCAGCCTAGGAAATAAGAGCCCCACGTCAGGCCCAAGTCTCCTCCCTTCAAAGGGACATTTCTCCCCGTAGTAGCGAGGCAGGAAGTTCAAATCTTTGAAAGATCGTTCTGTGGCCCCGACAGCCAGCTTGGTGAGGATTTTATCCGCAATGGTCGGGATCGCGGGTTGCAGCAGGACCCCATAAACCCGAAGGCATTCCAGAGCGACGTGAAGGACGGTGTCCCGCCGACGCTTCTGGTCTGGCTCCTTGAGCTGGAGTTTCCAAGGAGCGTGCCTTTGGACGAAGCTGTTGGTCTGCCTCACGCAATCCGAGATGGCTTCTAAAGCCCTGTAGATGTGAAATTGTTCAAAAGAACTGCTGACTTTCAGGGGTAAATCTTTCACCGAGGACACCAGCTCATAATCTTCTGCTGAGGTCCACGCAGATCCTCCTGCCCCTGTGCCTCTGGGGAAGCACACCTCTGAAAAGCAAGGGTAGGTCCCACTGGGGTTCAGACCGGGGGCTGTGCAACGGTTGAGGAGCCCCCCGAGGGCATCCGCCAGCTCCGAATTGATCAGGTTGACGGCCTTCCTGGGGTAGTAATCGTTGTCCCATTCGGGGACGCCCTGCCTCAACAGGAAGTACCGAAAACCGTCCACGGAGTATTGCCGGAAGCAGGCGGCTGGGTCCACCACGTTGCCAAGGCTCTTGGACATCTTCTGCCCCTGCACCGTCCAGTGCGAGTGCACCAAGATCTGTTCCGGGGGTTCCAATCCTGCCGCCATCAGCAGGGCAGGCCAGTAGATGGCATGGAACTTGAGGATATCTTTGCCCACTACGTGGCACGCCATGGGCCACGAGGCACGGTGGGCATCGGGATAGCCGAGAACGGTTAGGTAGTTCACAAGGGCGTCCACCCAGACGTAGATGGTTTGCGAGGGGTCCCCTGGAACAGGGATTCCCCACTGCAGGCGGTTTCTGTGGCGGGAGACGGAGAGGTCGGGCAGCTCCTGTCCCAGCCAGAGGAGCACCTGCTGGCGGAAGGGTTCGGGGGTGACGGCTGCCTTCTTGTCCTGGAGCCATCTCCGCAACGGCTCCCGGAACGCCGACAGCTTGAAAATGTAATTCTCCTCCTTGGTCCAGTGTGCCTGAGATGCAAGAGAAAAAAGGGGGGTCACCACCTTACTCCTTGGCCAGTTTTCCTCTTCCTTTAGTGCCTCTCCAAACAGCATCTCCTCTACCTTTCCCCAGCAAAGCCTAATGGGGCTCCCGTCCACCTCGTTCAAGTGAGACGACAGCACCCAGTGTTCTCCGACTATAAAAGTCGAATCCAAGTAATTACTTACTCATTTACAATTTCCATTCCAAGCTTCTACCTTCCCTTTCTATAAGAAACCTGACTTCTTGTTGTAGAGCAGAGGTGGCCAACCTGTGGGTCACGAGGATGCTTTTTTAAAGCCCCGCTACAGGTACCCTGCCGTTCTGCCATGCACGGCCACTGGCACCACGTGAACCCTGGGCACACAAGAGGAATCAGCCCACTGTGCTCCTTGATTCCCAGCAAAAAACAGCCTTCTGCCAACTTCTCCAAAAAGAGGTCTCATCGTCTGGAAAGAGTTTGATTCTTCTGGGAAACGAGATTCACAAGGATGATGCTCAACAGAATCAAGTTCCTGCAGGACCAAACAGCTGTTTTGGGGAAGCCAATTATGTTGGAAAACTGAGTGTCTTGAGAGGAACAATCTCTGCAAGTGGATGGAGATCAGAGGAGGCAACTGTGGCTCGCCAGATTTTGTTGGGCTGTAATTCCCAGCCGCCCTCATGATGACAGCAAAGGGTGAAGAATCATGGGAACTGCAGTCCAAAAACCAACCAACCAACCAACTCTAGAGCTGTAGTTCCCAGCCTTGGGCTCTCAAGATGTTCTTGGACTGCCACTCCCAGAGACCTTCACCACTAGCTGTGCTGGCCAGGATTTCTGTCCAAGAACATCTGGGGCCCTACGGCTGGGAGTGACTAACCCTAGAGAGTTATATTGGCCCACTGCTATTTTAGATGCAGTGGAATTGCTGGTGGCCGTACGCGGCCTTGCTGTGACTGCCAGAACTGCAGCCAGCCAAGCCATGAAGCCACGATGTCTGTCTTAACAGCAATATTTAGTGAAGGGGAGGGCCAACCATGGCCTCTGGGTCACAAAGGGGTGTTTTTGCAATCTCTCAACAGAGGCCCCAAGGCAAAGCCCCATCCAGTGCCTGTTTGAACCAAAACAAGGTGTGAAGACCAGTAGTTTTCTGCTCCAGGGCCCGCCCTCAAAAACAGAGTTGCCCACGTCGACACTTCCTGGTTTGTTTGTTTTTAAATGCCATTTTCAGTATTTCTGGGGATGGTATAACCTGGCAGGGAGAAGAAGGGCTTGTATTTGACTCTCTCCAGCCCTGATATCTTGCCCACTCCTGGTTAACATAATGAAAAGATCAAAGACGAGAGAGAGAGAGAGAGAGAGAGAGAGAGAATTGGAGGAATTTAAAAGGCTTTCAAAAATATCAAAAGAAAAATGATTAAGAAACATCTAGGGTCTTCAGACCACACATTAGCCTGTCGAAGACCCTTCTCTGAGTCACCTTAATGTCAGCTATAATCTGGGAGGTGACCAGAGAGATGGTCTTCTCCATGGGGGCACCTCATCGACAATGAAATTCCCTCCATGGGAAGGCTTGACTGATGCCTCCTTAGCTATCTTTTCAATGCTAGACAAAAATAAAACAGCAGCAGCAATAAAAACGACAGTGCCATGTATCTAAATTGAAAAACCAGTCCCTGTCTTCATTTTTTTTTGAATGTTTTACTATGTGAACTACAGTATTCTGTGAATTTGTATTGGAGAGTAGCATAGATATTTCCCAGGTGAAGAAAGGGCCAGACGTTCCACTGAAGCTGTTCCTAACTCTGAAGCCAAAGCATGGGGCAGAACAAAGAGCTTTTTAAATATACAGTGGTGCCTCGCACAATGAGGTTAATCCGTTCCGGATTAACCCTCGCTGTGTGAAAACATCGCTGTACGGATCAAAAAAAGCCATTGGAACGCATTAAACAGTACAGCGATGTTTTTCCGATGGCCGGCAGCCATTTTTGCGCCCTCCCCTCGCTTAACGAGGGCCCGAAAATGCTGCGCGCCGGTGGCTTCCGGTACCCATTTTGTGGCTTCCGGTGGCCATTTTGAAGCCGCCTAACAGCTGATCGGCGGGTCGCAAAGCGAAGGTCGGTAAGTGAACCGCTTACCGAACTTCGCTCTGCGATTTTGAGCCATAGGGGCCGTCGGTGTGCGATCGCATTTGCGATCGCTAGAACGGCCCCGTTGTGCGGATTCGTCGTTCTACGGTGCACTCGTAGTGCGAGGCACCACTGTACAAGCTTTCGAGTATCTCCTAAATAACCCAAACTCTAGACCCAACTGGCTTTTCCTGAGTAGGGAGTCCCATAAGCTTGAGACCACCATGGAGAAGGCTTGGCTCCAAGCCATGAGAGACACTTCCTGGAAGGAAGACACGCCAAGAGAGCTCTGAGGCTTCCCTGTGGATCGGACAAGACACCCTGAGGAAGTTATACAATCATGGTACCTGGTGGCCACTCTCCAGGGAAACCATGCACCTGTGGCCATGGGCGTCAGGACGTTCCGTGACCTGGGATGCGGTCAAGAAGCTTTCCTCGGCTGTGCAGTACCAGCCTTCATAAGCCCCTTGATAGAGCCAGCCCCGGTCGCGTAGAGTGACCCAGAAGTGCTCCACAGCCTGTCTGTGCCGTGGCTCCGTGGTGCGGATGAAATCGGTGTAGGAGATGCCGGCCGTCGTGAAAAGCTCCCGGAACTCGGCCGATACACGGTCGCAGAACTGTTGTGGGGGGACGCCGGCCGCCGCCGCGGCCGCCTGGATCTTCAGCCCATGCTCATCAGTTCCTGGATAGGGAAACAGGAGAGGACACGAGACTGTGAGTGCAGCAGACATGATCCTCCGACCTCAGGATTTCAAGGATCCGGAGAACTATTGTGTGTGAAAGACACCAAGTTCCTGGGCTCCATTTCTTGGGAAATTCCACATGGCAACAAGACGATAGGTCCCCCCATCCCACCCTGAATGTAATAGATCTGCCTTGGGTTCTTTTAAAGAGAAAGACAGGGGTAAAGATATTTTAAAATAAATCTGTGTGTGTGTGTGTGTGTGTCTGTATGCACCCACACACAGAGAGACTCTTTTGTTGTTGTTTAGTCGTCGTGTCCGACGGGGTGGAAGTTGCAGGTTACTTGGGCCTGCTGGACAAGGGTCTCTTCAAATTGGGAGAGGCCACAATGCACTGCCTGCCTCCAGGCTGAACGCTCAGAGGTCAAGGTTTCCCATCTGTTGAGGTCCATTCCTAAGGCCTTCAGATCCCGCTTGCAGATCTCCTTGTATCACAGCTGTGAGGATGGCTGGCAGTCTCCACTGTGATGTGACTTTGAGATTCCCAAGGGCATCCCAGTTCACTGTTTGTGAAAACTACAGTGGACCCTTGACTTACAGACGGCTCGACTTACAGACTTTTAGAGTTACAGACTTCTCTGGCCGCAAAATTTAGGTTCGACTTGCAGCTGGAGAATCGACCTACAGACCAGAAAAAAAACCAAAATGGAACAAAAACGGCTGGTTACGGGATTAATAGGTTTTCAATGCTTTGTAGGTCAACGGAGACTCGACCTACAGACTTTTCGACCTGCAGCCACTGTTCCAATAGATTAATTCCATAAGTAGAGGATCCGTGTGTTTAGTCGTTTAGTCGTGTCCGACTCTTCGTGACCCCATGGACCAGAGCACGCCAGGCCCTCCTGTCTTCTACTGCCTCCCGGAGTTGTGTCAGGTTCATGTTGGTTGCTTCGCAGACACTGTCCAGCCATCTCATCCTCGGTCGTCCCCTTCTCCTCTTGCCATCACACTTTCCCAACATCAGGGTTTTTTCCAAGGACTCTTTTCTTCTCATGAGAGGATCCACTGTATATTAAACTAGTGTGACGTCTGCTCTAATCCAACACAGCATTTCTGAAGGGCAGAAGAAACCACCTCTTTTCCAGCTTCCTTCAACCTGGTGCTCTCTCCAGTTGTGTGGGACAACAACTCCTGTGTGTGGGGGGCAGTTCAAGTGACTCAGCAGGCCAACAAGTCTGGAGGGGTGCCAGGCGGTGGACGCCCACTGTCTTCCTCTTGCAAGTCCCCTCTCAGAACATCCTAAACTCTACCCCCTCCCATGTTTTGCAAGATGAATTATGATCCCAGAACAGTTTCACTTTTGCTTCTGCACAATACTGTACCCTATTCAGCGTTAGCAGGAAACACCCCATTTCCCTGCCAACCTCCTCCTTCCTTTCTTGCACCCCCCAGTTAACACTTGGTCCGGTAATTTCTTTCTCAACCTTTCAGAACGGAGTATCAAAGTTATCATGTATGAGAAACAAGCCTCTGCTTTCTGGGAAGGGATGACCTTGCTGCATTAAAAATGGCTTTTTATGCCAACGGGGTGGAAGTTGCAGGTTACTTGGCTATTATAAAAGGGGGCTGCGACTTGGAAAAGTTTGGGAACCACTGGCTTAATGCCCGAAGAGGGATTTTGAAGCCTGATCTCCCCCTAGTCTTAATCTAACAATCCAAACACTAGGATACACTGGCTCTCATCGAAGCGCTTTATTTTCCATCTAAATTGGAAACATGTACATCAGGCTTCCTAAAACTAGTGTTGTTCAGCTGTGTTTTTCTAGACCTGCAATCTCCAGCTGGAATCCCTGCACTTTGCCACATCAGTAATATATGAGCTGTGGCCTTGCTGATACCCCACTACTACTCCCATTATCCTTCAACACTGGCCAAATGGAACTGACGTCCAAAATTATCCATAGGGTCACAAGTTTCCCACTCTTATCTAAACTGTTCCAATCATGCAATACAAGTCCCTAATCTACGACGGAGAAAACAATACAAGAAAAAGTCTCTCCGCACCTGACGTTCACACCTTGCTGGACACACGTTAAATGCGTGTCCACTCTGTACAGACACGTGATCACGCGGCTATATGAATCCATTTCCACATGCTCTTGCAGTGTTTAGAGACGGCACTACTGGAACTGCCGTCGTTCAGGCTGGGAGCGGCGGAGATCAAGTGTGCCGCTGAGCTGTCGCGAACGCATACACACGGGTCGAATGTAACGTGTGAACGCCCCACTCAGAAAGATAATCAAGACGCGAGACCCCTCTAATCCGAAACGCCCCGGCACCTGCCTACAGCCCTGTTCCCTCCACGGCCGCCTCGCCCACTGACCGGTGGAGAAGCAGCCGCCTCCCTGGCCCTGCAGCTCCCGGTACCGGTGCAAAGCATCCGCCAGCACCGCCGAGTAGAGGTGCCCGATGTGGGGCGAGCCGTTCACGTAGAAGATGGGCGTGGAGAGCAGCTTCCTCCCGGGAGGGGTCCCGCCACCGCTCAGGGCACGGCAGCGCCCCCACCCCCGGG